GTATAATAGGAGAAGGAAGGTTCTGAGAGCTAAGGCATAGCACTTTGAAACACAGAACCTGAAGGCATGAATGAGTTGCTTCGGTTTGCCTTTGCTAGGGTCACATTTCGTGCAGTGAACTGCAGCATTAAAAAAGGGGCAAGGTGTTCACTGCGCTAGTTTGGCCAGTGCTTTGCTTCCCTTTCTGCTGCCTTTATTTTTTGTGACTCTTCCAAATGTTTTCTCTATATATTCTTGAGAGAATGTGTAGGGTCCCTTACTGGAGTGGATGAGGGCTCTGTAGGTTGAGGAGTGTATGGATATAAGCAGATAGATTATAGCCAAAAAGTGAACTTTCTGTTTCTGCTGTAGAATTTTTAGAGATGACTCCATATGACAAACATTACATAGCACAGCAGCTGAGAGCGGGAGCTGGCTATATCCTGGAAGACTTCAATGAAACCCAGGTAAGAGCTCACTTACTAATCTAGAATGATAGTCACGGAATAGTTGAGATTGGAAGGAATTTCTGTAGCTCATCTGGTCCAAAACCCTGCTGAAAACAGGATCAAATAAAGGCAATTGCTTAGGTCCTTGTCGAGTTTTGAGTACCCTCAAGGATGGAAAATCCACAACCTCTCTGGGCAGCTTGATCCTGTGTTTGACCACCCCCAAATTTAAAAAAAAAAAAAAAAAAAAAAAAAAAAAAAAAGGAATTTCCTGTATTTCAATTTGTACCTGTTGATTTTTGTCCTTTTAGTAGATAACATCAAGAAGAGTCTGGCTTCATCTTTGTACACCCTCGTATCAGTCACGAATATTCATTGCTAAGACCACCCAAGCTGTTCCTTCTTGAGCTTAAACAAGCTCAGTTCTCTCAGCCTCTTCTCGTATGTCACATCCTCCAATACCTAGGTATCTTAGTGGCCCTTGTCTGGACTTGCTCCAGTATGTCTTGTGTTTTGTTGTACTGTGGAACTTAGGAGTCGATGCAGTACTCCAGATGTGGTCTCATCACGGGTCTGTGCCTCAGAACACTCAGAGGTAGAGCTCTTCGCGTACCAGACCTACTTGGACAAGCAGTTTTGTTTAGTGTCACTTTTATTTCAGTTTAGATTTTTAATAGGGTAAATTGTTCTTGGAATATCTTGCCTGAGGAAGCAGAGTCTTCTCTAGTGACAGTCTCAAACTAAAAGATCAATCTTATCCTTTGACCTGGAAGAGATAGTTATGATACAAAAACCGCTAGGCAGAGTTTTTGCTTGTGAACTGCATAACTTGGAATAAGTGATTATTCTAGGTAGCCCTGATTTCAGATTCTGTTTATCTAATTTACCTTTCACATAATATGGCTGTGAAAATCAGGATTTCAGTTGTTTTCTTTAAAGTGTTCAGCAGCAGGATAACTTCTGGGGTTTTTTGCAAGCGCTGTCCCCTATTTACATGTCTTTTTATCTCCCCTGAAGTGTAATGCAGCATATCAGTGTCTTTTAATTGCGGACCAGCATTGTCGAACTCGGAAATACTTGCTGTGCCTTGCCGGAGGAATCCCTTGTGTGTCTCATATCTGGGTCCATGATAGCTGTCATGCTAACCAGCTTCAAAATTATCGGAATTACCTTTTGCCAGCTGGTTATAGCCTCCAGGAGCAAAAGTTGCTAGAATGGTAAGTGCCAAATAACCATGATCTGAGTCCACAGACAGAGGATTTAATCAGAGAGAATTGTTATGCTTTGGACGCTGTTGAATATTACCAAGTACTGAAGGTGTCCGAAGTACTGCTTCTCATGCTTTACCTTCCATATAGGAACAGCAGTTCCATCTCTTTTCTTGGGATTTACAGTGACCTCTAATGCCAAGGTACGTTTGGGTGCCACATACACAAAAAAGACAGCCTCCTGGGAAGCGAGAAGGGTGTCAGTCTCCTCATGAGGAAGACAGAATTCAGGAAAGGCTTCCCACAAACTTGGCTGACTTCTCTAATTGCTCAGAAATGGATAAAGAAGAATAATACTACTGCAGTTTCCTTTTCCTTTGGTATGTTTTGAAGCCAGCTTCTGCATTTTCTACGGAGTGTAATCCAGTAGGTCTGTTCTGAGAGAACAATTGTCAGTTCAGACTCCTCAGGCAAGGTGAGGGGCAGACAAAAGCTGCTTGTAAATCTCTGTGGTCTTTTGGGCAGGGGACTGATGCCTGCCCGCTCAGCCCTGTCAAAGCAAAGGCATTTTGGATATGCACAGAAAAGGTGGTTCAGGATTAATGAGGAGCTTAGCCTGATTTTGGATTTAGGCTGTTGCACACACACCCCACCAATGTTGTCTAGCTCTGTTTTACTGTCTGTAAACAGAGTGCAGTTGTTCCAAGTATTTCGGGAAGGCTGGTAAGAGAGCAGGTCGTTGTATGCAAGATAGTCAAAGAACCAATATGGGAGCTGATCAGGTGACTAGAAGTAGGTAATGGTCCTGAAATCAAGTCTCAGACTACTTGATAATTCTTAGCAGTCTGTATTTCTTTTCTTTATTCTTAGGCACCCGCGAGAAAACCCATTCCATAACCTGAAGATTCTCCTGGTGTCAGACCAGCAGCAGAACTTCCTGCATCTGTGGTCTGAAATCCTCATGACAGGGGGAGCAGCATCTGTTAAACAGCATTGCTCAAATGCTCACAGCAAAGGTATTCATTGGCCAGTTTCTCAGGCCTAGTAGTTGGGAATCCCATGCCACTGTGATCTCTAGTATGGTTTAAAACCATCTAAGATGGCTTACAAGTTTATCTGTAAGCATAAAGGAAGGCAAAGTGCAGACACTAGCTCTCTGCTTGAATGTAATCTAGAAGATTACATCTGAAAGACCTACCTTCCAGAGAAGGAGGTGCTGCAGCAATTGAGGACACAAGCCGTCACCTTCCAGCCTGTGTTGAAAGGGAGAAAAAGGCAAGAGTTGCTTCTGGGCCTTCTGTAGGCCACTGAAATTGTGCTTCCTTGTCCTTCTGAACTCAACTGTCTCTCCCTCTGGGATGTAGACCCTATTACTCCCAGCCTGAGGTCAGGACTTGTTTATCTAGTCTTGCCTGTCATGTTGGCTACTGGTTTTCTGTTAATTTTGATCTGGACTAGGGGGAATCTTTTACTTGCAAAGTGCTGTGTTGGTGTAGAGCATGTCTTAACTTTTACAAAGAGAATTCATGAGCTAGGAATGAGAGGACGTGGAAGAGGGATTCATAGTAGTGAAACACATTGATCTTCAGCTGTGGAGAAGATCCTCTTTCTTTTTTTTTTTGCCTGACAGCTGCCTGTCTTTCCTTCTGTGCAGATATTGCTTTGGGTGTTTATGATGTGGTGGTGACTGATTTTTCCTGCCCAGCTGGTGTCTTGAAGTGTGCGGAAGCTTTACGGCTGCCTGTTGTCTCGCAGGAGTGGGTGATCCAGAGCCTTATTGCTGGGGAGAGAGTAGGCTACAACAAGCATCCAAAATATAAACATGACTATGTCCCCCACTAAACTAAAACTTTGCCCTGCTGTCCCACTGTTGTGCAGACTGTGTTTTAATCAGGTTTTAAATGTTTGTGTAATTGGACAGTGTGCATGAATTGCTGTATATAGTTTTATCTGCTGGACTTTTATGATGAAATAAATGTTCAATCTCTTGTGGTAGCTGCTGGGACTCCTCATTTATCTCAACTTAGTTGAGGGCTATGCTTGCAGAAGAGTGCAGAGAGAAAAGAAATGCTTACGCATCTCTGAGCTGAATAGCACTAATACTCTACTTTCTGACCTCAACATGAAGTCAGTTGTAAAGGATAGGGGAAAGGGGTATTCTCAACTGGCAGCCTGTATTTACAGAAGTGAGTACCATATGACAAAGTTCAGGGCGGCAGCAGCACTTCTGTTTGTTTGGCAGAATATCACATTGAGTACTCCTCCAGCTTGCTGTTGTTATTCTTCCATTATTTTCATTAAGATGTTACTAAAGTGACTGGGAAGAATTTCTTGGACAAAGTGCCATTTTGTTTTGGCTACCTCTCTTTTCCCTGTTGTGACTACATAGGTATTAAACTGCCTTAGTGCAGACTGGCACTACCTAAGTAGAGATACAGACATGGGGACCTAGGTCAACGAAACTGCTGGGAGGCTGAGGTGAAAAGAGTGTCCGTGCTGTGTACCCTTTTTTAAATGGCAGTGGGGTAAATTATCTGCTGAGCTGTTGCATTCACAGCCAGGGACTTTTTTCATAGTGGTCAGCTGGCATAAGGGCAAAAACTGAGTTCAACAGCTCTTCAGTCTAACAGTGCTATACACTATAGGTATATGCAGGCCTCCATCCAGCCTCGCACACAGTCTTTAGTCCCCTGCTTCAACAGTCTAAGTTTTTCTCAATGTGTATTTTTTCCCCTCTAGTTTCCTAGCTCAGTCACTTTCTGACCGTGTTGGTCTGTAAATCTCACATCCAAACTTCAACACGCTTCTTCCAGTTTTCTAGCTTTTTGCATGGTGACAGAATTTTGAAACTCTGCATCAGGCACAGTCCTACCATAAACAGCTGTAGTGCACTGAAGATGCCAGGCCTTTGTACTTGCTGTCAGTTTTGTTACTGCATCTCAGTGAGTAGAGAGGATTTTTTCCCCTGAGGACAGACACTTCAACCTTTTTGAAAGCTGCAGCTTTGGATACTGTAAAAATACCAACCCTTTGAGGGGAAGGCCAATTTCCTCATAGCCTTTGTGTTCAAATTGGGAAACCTGATACTACACCCCAGCAACCCTTTGAGGGGAAGGCCAATTTCCTCATAGCCTTTGTGTTCAAACTGGGAAACCTGATACTACAGCCCAGTGACAGACTGGAGGGCTTTCTTCTGCCACTCATCCAAATGGACCTACGGCAAGACAGTCTGTTACAGCAAGACTAGGAAACCTTGGTAACATGCAAGAAGTTCTTGCCAGATAGTGCTTTTCATTGCAAGAGGTTGCTGTGCCACTCTAGTCCCTTTGCACTTGGGTGCAGACATTGACAATATTCCACATAATTGCATGACGAGATGGTTTTATTTTGGTTCAGTAGGATAGTCACTAGTAGCATTCCAAATAGTTGTGAATGAAAACAGTGCATTCAGAGCTGGTAGCATAGTTAAGTCTCTCCTTAGCTTTAACTCTAGCACCCTCTCCTGCCAGCAGCAGGAGCTTTGTACTTTAAATAGGGCAAAGCTGCAACTCGTGTCCATGTGTAATTTTAGCGCACACAAAATTTATTAAGATATAGAGGAGGCGTGTGACATCACTAGCGGTGGCTCTACCTATACTGATAGGCTAGAAGAGTGCACTGTATGAGGAGATTCTTAAATCTTATGTCCTTCTCCTTCCCTCTGCCTTCACCTCTGCCAGTGCAGTTGTTTCATTTACCTGGAGGTACGTATTTCATTAGGAGACATTGTGTACGGTAAATCAGTTTACGGCACAAGTGGAACTTCTGAATACAGTCGAAACTTCATTCATAGTCAAGAACAATAGACTTTCTCCATACTCCCAACTTGCAAAGGATCACAGTCCAGCCGAAGAGTCGAGATGACATAATTCTTGCTGCTCTTTCGCTTAAGAGGCAGACTGCCTCCCTAGAATCACTTATAAGTATAGGCAGAGCTGCAGAAAGCATGTTTTTACTAGTTCAGAAAAAATGGAGTAGCTTTCTGCAGTCACTGGGCAGCCTCATGTAAGTGGCACTTCCTTCCACTTCCTTCTGAAACAGTGGTTCACCAGGCAAGAGCCAGCTACCAAGAAAAATTCAGTTGAGTGCAGACTTCCCAGGAGCGCCAGTCTCCACTGCTTGAGGTGTCGTTGGTCACAGCTTGCAGAAAAGGTCTTAGTGCTTAAACTCCAAAACTGCAAGGGAAGTATACGATATTAACTACGTGTTGAAAGGAACTCCCTTTATCAACCCACATCAGCATTTTTCAGCCACTATGAGCTAGCGGCTAGGTCAACTTCATGCCAAAACAAACTCGAGGGGGAGAAGGCATAAAAGAAACCAAACCTTAGCTCAGGCTGGTTTGTTAATTCTCTGTCACGGTATTTAGCAACACTTTGCTTCCAATTATTTTGGCTTATACAACCAATAAAAATGACTTATAATCATTTAGATCACGTTGTACTTTTACGTACCTCAGGATAATGCTACAAACAACCCTGAAGATCTTCCTACCTGCCCAAGGTTCCTCCAGCCTGGGTGTAGTATTTGTTATAATCCAAGCGCAGCAGCAGTTGAGCTAAGTCAGAGTTTATCTGATGGTTGCGAACACTAGAGAGGATCTTGAAGAGAAGTGACGACTGACGACTGAATCCCTACAAATTAGAAGTAGTCAGTTCTGGGCATGCTGAAGACAGAAAGCAAGCAAGCAAGCCCTTCATCTCTGTTCCTGCCTAAACAAGCCTTTAACAGCCTGAAGGAAAGAATCTCTGCAAGAGAAGTGTTGCGTGTGGTCCAGTATAAGGTAAGCTGTCAGCCACAAGAATGATTAGGTGTTAGGTATCCAAAAGGAGGGCTAGAGGCACCAATACCCACCTGCTTTTTATTCTAACAGAGTAATTTCTGCGTATCTTCCCCCATTCCTCCTCTCTGCACATAGAATTTTTGACTTGGGAACAGTTGATTAATTAAAACCATTGCAAGTACTTGTATAGAAAGTCTCAGTTTAAACTCACTCCTGTTCTACAGCTGTTAAAGCCAAGATGGCTGCTTAGGCAAATGTCTGCATGGGAGAACAGGTCCATATAAACAGATTTACCTTCACCAAAATACTGAGTTGTGCAGCTCCCCGTTCATCTAACGGGCCGAGATTCTGACTGACCAGAGAACAAAAACTGTGACAAAGATCCAGAATTTCATTTAAGCAGTGAAAAACCTGCATGGGATAAAAAGTACAAGATAGTAGTTTAAACAGAGTTCAATCCCAGAGAAAGCTGGTTTTAGTACTTGAAAAGTTACAGCATTTATAATCAAGATGTTGCTGAGACCATATTTTTCAATCAGTAAGGAAGATGTTAAACCACCTGCAGCATTTTTATAAGGTTTTCGATGGAAAAAGGACTTACATGTTATGCTGCATCTTCTCCCCCGCCCCCACCCCCTCTTTTGCAGACATTACTGGGGAAACAGTGATTGGCACGAGCCAGAAGACTGCATCGGCACAGAAGTTGAACGTCGGCTTCCCTATCCAACCAGCAGGCCCTCACTGCAGCTCCAGAATTGAGAAGCAACAAGAGCAAGAGCTGTAGTTCCAGGCTTTGGTTTCACTGTTCACAAAACTTGGAATTTCTGTTGTATCAGTTGGTCAAGGTAACTTGCATTCAGGAGTGTTAAGAAAGCCCAAATGCCTCACAGACATAACTACTGGAACACACAGACGTTCCAGACTGGATAATCAGTATTTTGCCACCAATGGTATAGCCTCATAGACTGAGCAAAATAATGAAATGGACAAGGTCTGTGGTATCCCTGTGTTTCATTGATACCAACATTGGAGAATGTTTTTGTGAGGCTACATGTTTAATAAAAATACGGGCAACGCTGTAATGTATTTTTTACCAAAGCAACAATAAAAAAGACCCTTAAGGTCCACTCAGGGACATCTCAACTATTTTTATCCTCTCAAGTATGAGAGAGAGAGGGAATTTTTCCTAATCTAATGCATTTCAGAATGATCCCTCAGAAATACAGTTCCCAGCCCTATGGAAATTAGTACTTAATAAAATTGCCTGTAAGAAAATATAGTGACAAAATTTAAGTTGATAAGGCTAACTCAACACTGGAATAATCTTGATTTTAAATTGCCAGGAATGCAGCATCTACACTCGCCAACTGTAAATGAAGTGATCTTAATTCAGTTATCTGTTCTAATTTATACCTGCTTTATTCCTAGAATTGTAGTCTGTGTTCTGCAGGAGTTTATCACTGATACGTTTTAAAAGAGATGGTTTATCATATCTGCTCAAAAAAGTGTTTTTTAGAGCAGCCGGAGAATTTGTAGAAAAAGGTGAAAACAAGACCTACTTACAGGTTTTAGGAGGATGAAAGACTGAGCCAACAGATTACTTAAGAAATGATCATGAGCCAGTCGTATACTCTCAAAATCTCGCGTGGCATTTATCTGTTGCAGAAGCTGTGAGAACTGAGATTCCAGTACATCTACCTGATGGATATGTAAAGAAGTCTCATTAGTATCTTGAGGAATGGGAGTACTTCAGACCAGCCAGAAATTTTGTGTAAGAAACTTACTCTCCTTATTGATACTCTTACCTTAGAGGCTGAGGATCACCTTCTCTCTGCCTCCTGAATGGGGAATTATAGTAGTACATAATGGGGGGGGGACACGCAGGTATGGACTGACACACAATTTTTAATGCCTAAGTATTATCTAAGTGGAAAGGGGAATGGTCACTTTCTTTAACTATTGAAAAAGTATACAGCTAGCATGTAAACAAAGGTATTTGATTGTAGTCATCTCTGAATTTTACACTGGGAGATACTATCTGGAATCTCAGGGCAAAGGCTGCAGTGCAAAAGCTCAGCCAGGTTACTCTCAAGAATCTAGAAATCAGGCACCCTCAATTCAGGTGTTATGTCTATTAACTGAATGATACATAATTCTCACAAGATCATGCTACTAATAACAGGTGTTTACATTTGAAAAATCTCTTTTTTAATTTCAAATGATCAGAATATGAATTCTTTCAATTCTTAAGGAAAGGAAAAAAAAAAAAAACCAAACCAACAATATTTAAATCAAACTGAAGTTCACTTAAGGGGGCAAGGGAGGAAGCCAGGATGGTATCTTAATGATGCTACTTCAGAGATGACTGGCTTCTCACGAGTGTTTAATAGCACTAGAACACCAAAACTCCTGCATTTCCAGTAACACTGATTCACAAGTCCAAAAACTTTATAATTGTAGGACTAAGTCTGGGAACTCAGAGAAACTTCCAGACTTGTTCCAAAGGAAATCCTGATTTCTTTAAGCTACGAAGAATCTGAACCCTGAAAGACATTACTTCAATGCTCCCTCCATGCATTTCTGCCAGTTTCTGATTAACTGATACAGTTCAACTTTCTCTGTAATCCTGACCTGCAGATAATACTGAAGATTGTCCACAAGGAAAGCCATGTGATCCCTCAGACGCCACTTGATGGCATCAGTTCTATTAGATTTCAGGTGTTTGCGTTGCATCTGGAGAGCCCAGCAGTGTTGTAGCTCAGCCTGGACTCGCCGCACACTCAGCAAGTATTTGAACACAACATTGTACCTACAATGAAAAAATACAAAGTTTAAGATTAAAGTCTTCCTTGGGTGCAGGTACTGGAGAACATAACAATGCAAGACTCGAAACAGGAGATGGCTGCCTGCCAACAGACAGGGTAGGTCAGGTGATGGCCCATCTCAGAGTAACAGATTTCTGCTTGTGTTGGTTACTGACCTAAAAAAGACAAAGTTAATTTCACCCCAAGGATGGAAGAGCGTTTTGTCAAAGTAGCACTGTTCATAAAATAGTCATCTGCCAGCATCTTGCAGATCTTACTGTCATTACAACAAGTACCCTCAATGTAACTAAGTGGAAAGTTATTTTAAGGTTCAAGGAGATAAAAGTATTATAGCTCTACCTTTCTCTCCCTGGAGAGGAACTAAAAAACCCAGCACATTAGTGAGTGCTGAAATGAGGGAACCTATAGATAAATATACAAAGACCATACCTATTACTTACTTCTCCAGAACAGCAGGAGTAAAGAGAATGTGCAATGGCCATTGAACTTTGTAAGACAGGCCCAGAGCTGCCCATCCAGATGTGGGGGCTTCACGTGGAGATAACTCCCGGGAAGGCCCTTCACGAGTCTGAGAAGTATCTGAAAACAAATGAGGCGCTAAATTAAGTCATCTTCTCAGTCAAGACAACCTTGGCAAGGAAGACAAGGGGAGAGAACAGAACAGAAAAGGAAGCTAGGCCATCACATAGGTCTGCAAAGGAAACAAAGTTAGTATTTGTTTAACTTCAGAAAAGGGTAAATAATAGGACTTGAAAACAAGGTCATCATCTCCCTTCTTAATTTGCTACTAAAAATGCAAGTAGATACCTTTATGCTCCTTTCCATGATACTCAATGGTTAAGTGAAGCAGAGGAAGAAGGTTGTCATCATCTAACAGTACCTTATGAGCAGACTGCTGAAATGCAACGTTGACATCTGATAAAAGAGCACAGATATCAACACAAGATGATGCAGCTAGTGCTAATTTTGCACCCATTAATTCTTCTTGGCTATAAAAGACAACACTGACACACTATTTCGACTAGTTTCATTCCAGTTTCAAATATGGAGAGAAACCTGCTGTCTGAAAGTTTGCGAGATGTTATTTTCACCCACTCTGTAAACATTCTAATTCACAAGTGCTGTTCTTTCAAAACCAACATGTTCTTTCAAAACTAACAACAACCTCTAGAGGATAAGATAGAGGTCTTCTGTACTGGACGTGGCTAACCATTTTCCTGCTATGCCATAACAAGGACAGTTTGGTAAGTGAATAAGCAACGCTCACCATGTTCAGTTACAGCTGTAGGTGGTGTTTTTAACATTTGCTGTGCAGTGTCAATGAAGGCCTGAAACAGCTCACCTCTTCCCAAAAGGTAAAAGTCTTTTATAATCTGTAGAGATAATTTTTTTGTATATAAGCATATCAAAATCTGAGCAGAAATTTTAAGCATCCTAGCTGATAGCATCCATTTTTAATATTGCTTGGACAATTGCCATTTCCAAACACAGCTGGAGAGCTCTGAATTTCATCCAGTACCCAAAAAGTCTACGCTGCCTTTGCTTCAAGATGCAAACCACAAAACCACATACACATACCCCTCTAACTCTGTCTCTGACCAAGTTCTATCATTCTGTGCTTATTCTTGAGACCTGGAAAATGAAAACAGCTTTACCTAAAAGAAAGAAAGTTCAGAATCTAACACAGTAAAGTATTTAACGTGAAAGAGCCACTAAAAAGGAAAGAAAAAAAAAAATCTAAGCTGCTTTAGCAAAAACAAGCTAGTTACGTTACCTTCAGTTGTCCTAGTAAATCTGATTCCTCCACCATCAGTTTCCAAAGATGCTAGTGAAGAAACATACAAAAGAAATCTCCCTTCAGATTTATCTAAACCCATTCAATGAGAACAGTAGCTGTCTTAAAAAACACTTGTGATGCGAAAAAGCACCTATATAAAATGCTATATAAAGCACAAGAGAACATACTAAGAATCCTGTGTGTAGGCAGCCTCTGCTACTAGTTAGAACGCTCTTGATGTATACCAGCAAGACACCTCCTAGTAAACATGAAGACCCATGACAAAAAAAACCCAAGCAAAATCTTATGAAATCAGATCCACTCTAGCTTTGTTCTCACTTCTCTGACCTCCCCAACTTCTCAGGTTCTGCCCCCCTGACCCCAAATGAAAAAAAGATTAAAAATTGCCAAAGCAAAGAATTTGTCCAGTGAGATGCCATCTATTATGCTAAAAACATAGTGAAAAGTTCCGAAGTCATGTCAAGGGAAATAAAAAAAAAAAAAAATACAAAAATTCTTTCCCCCATGAAAGTACATAGTATTTGTTAACGTGCTTTTGTCATTCGAAGCTGGGGTAACATGAAGCTCTGAGCCCATAAGAACATGAAAGCTACCTGCAGCGTTCACACGCTTGTTCAATCGCCGATTCTAAAGAGCCTCCTTCTTCTCCCAGTCGTTCACAAAACTGAAGAGCTCCTCAGCTTGTATAGCAGTTGTCCTTCCTAGGATCCTTACCTCAGCAACAGTGCTCCGTATCCAGTCAACCACCGATTCGAAGTCCACCAAACTAAAGAGCGGTTGCTGCTTGAGTCGATGTAGCTCTGCTGCAAAAGTGTCCTCCTGGTTTTTTAGGATGGAGCCTGGGCAGAAATGGCAAAAGTGTTTTGGACAATAAAAAGGAATACCATTTGGAGAAGTGCAGACCATTTCCAGCACAGTGGGGCAGAAAGGCTGCCCAGGCAGCACCATCTCAGGTCTGGCGAGGAACGTGAAGTTGAGGAGGCCTCAAAGTACAGGTACCAAGGTACTTGATCAAGTACAGTTACAGCAGAGACACATGACATGGCAGTGCTGTGGTATCAGTAAAAACCCCAAATATTTTCTATGTAAATGCTTACCACTAACAGCCCTTTTCCTAGGACCGAGCTAGATCTTTGAACCCACAACTTTTCTGCCAGATTAATCAGTTGGTTTGGTTCTCCACCTACCCCTGCACCTTTCAAATCTATCCTACTGCTGGATTTTTTTTTTTCAACCAACAAAGCTAGAATACCAGTTTCTTTTCACCTTACTTCTGCTAAGGCAAGAAAACAGTCCAATTTAATTGGTCCTTTGTTCTCTGCAATGTTGCTCAAGTCATTTGAGTGCTTTTGCAAAAGCTCAAGATACAGCCTCCACAGCAGTCCTCCCCAATTCGTATAGGAATATACTTCCAAAACCATCTCCAATGTAAACTTATCAGGCTCTCAAAGAGAACCATCAGCTGGAATTCTCCCTCTCTTGCTCTCTTAAAGGCTCCATCTTGATCATCTGTCCTCCAGAGTGACTTTTGGGACCACCTTGCAATGAATCTCTTATGTTTGTGGATGTGTTTTAATCCTGTGACAGCATTCTGTAACATAGAGATTCAGAGCAAGGTGTGCCCTTTTGTCTATCTTCACCCTTCAGGGATAGGGATGCAAACTAAAAAGAAAACATGACCTTCGCAATTGCTTTATTTATCCAGAGCAAATCGCATGGTGACTTGTTGCTGGAAACTTGGAGACTATGTTTGGAAAACGTTATTTTTTAGTCATCCTGTTACGCCTCTCCTTTGGAATCAATGAGAAGCAGAACACTGGGACCACTGCTCTGTCCTGGCACAACCATGCATATGTTCTGGAGAATGCCAATGGTCAGTGACTGCTGAGGAATTTGTTAATACAGGATTTTGAAAGTTACTTGTCAGTCACTATAACTGAGCAAAAGCCACAAGAAAGATGTTCCTTACCTTTTCTGGTCAGGTTAACATTTTGATTCTCAAACATTTGTACAGATTCTCCCACAAAGAGGATTTTCTCAGCAACCCGCACGGGAATATATGAAGGCAGCATTTCTACTCGCAGAGAAAACTGTTTTAGAGATGGAGCTAGCATGTTCTCCTCCTCAATCAAGCGCTGTCAGAGACCCCAGGGAAAAGAAATCAAGCAAAAAAAGTGTGAGAAAGCCAGATAGAAAAGGTGTATAAAGGGGGCGAGGGGGTAGGAAGCATAATCCAAGTATAGTGGGAGTAAGCAGAAAGTTAGCAAACCTGAACTGCATCATTTAAGGAAGCCTGCAAACTTTTTTGTATTTCTGGTACACTAGCAGATCTCCCTAGGGAAGATGTTGCATTCATCAGAGAGGGGAGAAGAAGTGGGAAAAGATGAAACTAAACCCTTGTGAAATAGCAGCAAATTGGCTCTCCCAAAGGATAATGTTACATCAGCAAAAGGAATTTTTGTTGCAAATGCATTACATTAGGGTTTTTGCAGCCATAACAATGTTAATTAACACTTGTGTTATGGGCCAAAAGTAGATGCTTCCACTAGTGAGCAAATAGGTTAAAGATCTGACGGCTTGCTAGCATAAATGAGGCACTTTTCTCAGTTTTTGCAACAGGTGTTTAAAACAATACAGTAAGTCATTAATTTTTTTCTGAATGTATGAGTAAAGAACTCCAAGTACGGAGACAAGATTTTCCTTCAGAGAAGCAATACTGATTATTTCATTTGGCTTTCTTGTTATTGGCAAATGAGGTTCCTTAGTCGATAATCCAAAAAATACTGTGCTGGCAAACAGTCTCAAAAATTTGTTATCTACAGAATTCTTCATTTTAATAGAAGAGTTCTGTACAAGTTTGTACACTGACATTAACAGCTTGGCAATTCTTTTCTTAAGGTTCTTCTGACACTTTTAGACTAGGAAATACCCAAGTATTTTATTGGTCTATCCTATCAAAACTCTGGATTTTTATTTTACTGACTGAAGAACTGCCAACACTGTTAGTCAGTAATACTGAAAAAGAGAGTTAACTAGACTCTCTCGGTGTCACCTTCTTAATGCCTACATTTTCCACCGTGGATCTAGAAGGCTCACCAAGTTTCACATTCTTCCTATATCCGATATAGTGAAATAATAGATTTTTCATTAATTGCCTTTTAAAGTTTTCCCTTGTTGTTGCCTGTGTGTAGTCTGTCCTCAACAGAGACTGTACAGGGCACTTAATTGGTATGCAACGCAGGGTGTTTCAGGGGTGAATCTTCTGTGTGTTCACAGCCAAGTTGCATGCAGCACACTAACACCATGGGTGCCCATGAAATGTTCTCTCACATTAAACGACTGTAAATTTAAAGAATTGCAGTTGCTCCTTACTGGTCCCTGATGCAGATGCTATTCAGATGCAGAAAGTATGTAACATTATTCCACTGAGAAAGCTGCTTCACACAAGGGCACTGTAATGGTATGCCATCTACATGAGTTACCGCATTTCACCAGTATACTGACAAATTGCTCCCTTGCTTAACTTAGTACCCTGGACACATTCTTGGCATCCTCTTAACTGTCACATAGCACATATTTCCCCAATAACGTCAGTAGTATTATCCTGTTAAGTAACGTTTGCAAAATGAGCAGTTGTGCAAGAAAGGTACCTGACCCAGCTGCCAATTGAAAGGGCGCAAATCAACACCCAAGCTCCCCACACCCTTTCCCTTGCAATTGCTCATACTACCACCAATGCCTATGTTGAGCAGATCACAGTGTTGACCATAAGGAATCAGGAAAGAGTCAGTCAGGAGCAGGGTGAGCACAGCAGTTCCAATTACTTGACACCAGCATCTATACAGATTCCATCCAAAGGGCTTTCTGCCCTGAGATCATCCACCTGTGCCAAACGGTATGTCTCTGTTCTTTACACCCACCTGCAACCTACTACAATACTCTGTTGATTTATCATCCTACCAGGTCTCCATATACGTCCAAGAAGACAATGTATTTCTTCTTTAGTTCCCTAAGGACCAAAGGATGCCAAGATGTGATTTGCGGTCTTACCAGGTCCTGCAGTTCTCGTAGCTGTTTTCCTGTAAGTCCCCCGATTCCCAAGTCGTCATCATCTTCTTCAGGTTGGCTAGGGACATTCCCAGAAGAGGGGCCCTGTTTGATGAAGAACTCTTCATGTTGGTCTAGTAGCAATCCGTGCAGCATCCAGGCAGAGAGCTGCTTATACATGACTCCATGACACACAGCCAGAATCCTGAGGTCAAGAGAAGCAGACAGTGGGGCCTTTGCATGCAGTAATCAGAACCTCATTATACATCATTCTGGAAAGTCCAGTTAGTCAGCCAAGCAATATGGCAAGTGCTAAATGGCTAATGTGGCATTTTATGATTTTTTTTTTTTTTTAACAAAGAAAGGTGGACTAATTACTTGCAAAACTAAATTAACATATCCTCTGAATGCGTGACTTCTTCATGGAGATCTGCTAGTGTATGAGAATTACGAGTAACTTTGCAGTGGCTTTCTAGTCCTCCTGTTTCTACTCAATTACCATTTTAGCATGAACACAGATTATCTTTTAAGTAGTCTGACTTTCTCCCTGAGGACATACAAACTTAGTGACGCTCACCCAGTCACATTTATCCTTTTGAAGGATCAAAAAACAACAGGTCTACCATATGCAAAACAGTTCATATAGACCTCAAAAGAAGAAAAAACATAGGGTCTGAACTTTCCTCAGCTCTAAGCCCGAAGTATGGAGAAAGCCTTAATTCTTGCCATAAGCATGCTTTAGGTAAACAACAGGGACTGTGACAGTTCTCCCTGCATGCTATTCCTACTTTTATATCATGCAATCCTGTTTTGCATGTCCTGTTTTCACAAGTAAGATAAACATTTTGACACTAACTCCAGTTACTACAGAAGAATGAAATAATAGCTTTACTGTATCCACATACTTTTCAAGAGCACTGCGAACAGGAGGCAACCCCCCACAGCTATGTTTGTGGACTGTCTCCAGTATCTGACATCCATGAATCTACAGAAAGAAAACATGGTTAGACTAGGCCTGTTATTTGGATCTGTACCGACCTTTTCAGACATTTAAATGCTATGCTTTTGGCTAACAAGAAAAAACCTTAACAGCTGCCCAAGTCGTACAGAAGGAAAGATGTAACATACTTCATGTAGTGAAGAAAGAGGCCCTCTATGTGTGGCCCTACACCCAAGCTTCTCAGAATTTCCCTTAATTAAAAGTAAGCATCTCTGGATTCTGAAAACATTAGCTATTAGCTTCTGCCTTTTTATTTTTTTTTTTTCAGGTGACAGTGGGAGAATACAGATCCAGAAAAGAAGAAATTCCAACCGGCAGCATATTGTACTATGAAATATATCGCGATTATAAAACGCAAGTCATCGTAGATCATACTGATAATGAAAAAGTCAAATTCACTGTAAATGGATTTGCAAAATAGTTCTTCAGTACTTACAGTGGTACTAGGAATAGGGCACCCATTCCTGAAACCACTTTCTTTCCTAGTATTAAAGGTCTGGGATTGGGGCAGAGAGAATTTGATTAGCTAAAGAGGAAACCTGTTAAGAGAAACTAGCTACAGTTTTACTGTACCTTCTGAGTCTTGATCTGTTCCACCATGACCATCACAGAGGGGAATAGTAACTGAAACTGCAGAACAAGGATCCAAGTATTAAATTAGGTTGCTATGCAAGGTAGAGAGAAAAACTGTACTTGAGTGCATGTGGACAGCAGCTGATTACAATAATTTAATGAAACTATTGTCTGGCTTTTCCTACGAATTAGAAATGTGACATGAAAATCTCCAGGAAGTATGTCCTCCCTCCACTGGACCAAGATGCATGAAGTTACTATAACCTAGCTGCAGTTCAAGCTAAACACAGGTAGCGAGGAATATGCGAGAGTCAAGGTAGAAGACCTCAGCTTTGTGTCAAAGCGCAAGTGATCCTCTGAGCATGAGTAAAGGACTACATATGTAGAGGTGTTAAAAAGAAATGGCATGACATGACAGACTAACCCTCTTTCTTATTAGACTCAACGAGTGATATGAGTAACCAAAGCACACTACCTGTTTATTAACATGACATACCTGGTCCAAGGAATAATTAACATGTGAGATGGAAAGATGTGGGTCGGCCAGAAACTGTAAGAGCAACAGTGCAAATAATGAAAATTAAACTAACGCATAGATAAGTTTAAAAAGCACATTTGGCTCTGTATTTCAAATCTTTAGTTCCCACAGCTTTGCTCCCCTCACCCCCCGCCCCGCCCCCCCCTAGTTTTGGGCTGTGTCCCATTTTAGACTGCAACAACCACTGGATGGTGGAATCCAAGATACGACAGCTGCTAACCTAGCAAAGAGTAATCAAAACCTTTACAACTGAAAACATAAGTCACAATAGTCTGAGACAGCACTGGGCTCTGAGGCAGATAGGGTACTTACTGAACTGAAGGTACAAAGGACTTATTGGTCTTATTATCCTTATTAGAATGAAGAGTCATTTCCAATAGCACCCCACAGGAATAATTTGGAAGACATCTCTGATGTGGAAAATACCTTGTCTCCTCTTTAGCTACTACTACTTAGCATATAAATTGCAGAAATGACAACTTTCCACAATCTGTCAGCAGGACAGCCTCTTGTTCCAAGTTTCTCTCCTTTACCTCTTGTTCTAGGTCAAGTAGTGCTTGTCGATACGGCTGCAGCACTGAATCAAGACCTGTGCAGAAGGCTCGCAAATAAATGCCATGTAATCCACTCTGGTTTTGCTGAGATGGATGATGGTCCTGAAACCAAACAATAAAATCTACATCAGCTTCCTAGTGCAGGTCTAAAGAATAATGGAGTTTTTGTGCAGTGTTACACCAGCAGCCTGTGGTACAAACATGTTGCACTGCACCTTAGCCCACCACAACGTGCCCAGAAAAAAAAAAAAACCAGAAGTTTGTCACAAGGAGCTACTTGATCAGAGTTATATTTAGCTCTTCTGTTGACATATGCAAGTGTGGGGAACCACTGGTAACTTCAGTGCTTCTTTGTACTTATGCATGCCTCTTGGATCTCAAAGCTCTTAAAAAACCAGTAAGAGTCACTATGACAGGGATGAGCATCCTGTGCAGTTCCCAAACCCTGGCCAGCCTGCAGTGACCAGAAATTATTACAGTATGCTTCCCTAAGAATGAGATTTTACGCTTGGTCCATCTTTCACAGTTCTGTGCCCTGCCTTACTTGCATCGCATAGAGCTTTCTGGAGCCCTGCTCGGGAAAAGGCACTTGTTTGTGCAAGCGCGGATACGCGCTGAAGGCCATCCGTGCACCCGCAGCAGCTTGGCCGGACTGGCATCTGCTGCGCTCGACCGGGAAAGAGAGCAGAGCGGAGCGGCGGCCCACCTGCTGCTGTACGTGTCCCGTGTACTGCTCCACGAATTCGGCGAAGCGGATGTAGTCGGTGCCGAGGCGGCAGAGCCGGTTCAGGACGCTGGTCTCGCTGGGGTGCAGGAACGGCAGCTCCTGAGACACCTGAGGGGAGGAACAGCGGTGAGAGCGGGGCGGGGCGGGGCCGGGCGGGCCGTACCGGCCCGTGCCGTCCCGCACCTGCAGGCCGCCGCGCTTGCTCCAGGTGAAGGCCGCCCCCGGGTATCCGCTCAGCGCCAGCAGCAGCTCGTGGATCATCCTGCCGCGCGGCGCCGCGCGGTCTGCTGGGAGGTGCGCAAGAGCCGTCGGGAAGGGGCAGGCCGGCGGGCGGCTCTCGCGAGGCCCGGGGCCCGCGGCTCGGCCTGAGGGAGGGGCGGCGGCGGATTGTCACCGGGCGCGGAGGAGATCGGCGGATTGTCACCGGGCGCGGAGGAGATCGGCGGATTGTCACCGGGCGCGGAGGAGATCGGCGGATTCTCACCGGGCGCGGAGGAGATCGGCGGATTCTCACCGGGCGCGGAGGAGATCGGCGGATTCTCACCGGGCGCGGAGGAGATCGGCGGATTCTCACCGGGCGCGGAGGAGATCGGCGGATTCTCACCGGGCGCGGAGGAGATCGGCGGATTCTCACCGGGCGCGGAGGAGAACGGGGCCACGTTTGGGCGGGCGCCGGGTTGCTAGACGAGTCACCGGGCGTGGCCGACCTGGCCGGACGGCGCCGTGAGGGATACCCTGGCCCGAGCTACTCTGAGGGCGCGTTGGCGGCGGCTTGATGCAGGAGCGTGGCTGAGTAACGTGGTGGCTGCGGTCCCTTCCAGGACAGCAGCAAATCCGTACGCTTCGGTGTTGGTATTACTTGCCGGGTTTATCGGTTTTGCATATGACTCGTCAGTGTTCAATCAATGCCAGTTTTACCTTTCTCTATTTAATATACATTGCTTCCCTTCACTTCTCTCTTAACCCAGGCAACCTTTTAATCAGCACTGCCCGCTTTCAAAGTTGTGGCGTTATCTAATAAGCTGGGTTTTAGCAATCTCCTTTTAATTTTCTGGTTTTGGTGGTGTTTTATTTCACGTGCATTTTTACTCATCTTCACTCAGAAAAAATTGCTGTTAAGTATCATACAACAGATGTCTCTTAACTGATTTTTAAACGTGTATTTGGTGCATTAGCAGCTTGTCACAATGAGGTGTGAACTGCAGGAAGAAGAACTATTATGTCCTTACAGGGGTGAGTAAGTTCCCTACTACATTGCCCAGTTTTCTAAAGAAATTTTTTTTTTTAACGTACCCCTCTGATATGTATGCATTTGCTTTCTCTAGCTATCTTTATATGTAACTTGGGAGCCCGAACTGTATGTATCAGTATAATAAAACTGTCCTTTATATTGACAAAGCTTCTAGTGTCTGAATAAAAACTGAGGAATTAGTCTAGGAATTTGTTGGTCATCGCTGACATAAATATTACCATATACAGTTGGGACAGGAAAGCTATGTGCCCTTCTGGCTTTTAGGAAGCTGTATTTGATGTTTAGCACCGTTGGCTTTGATCTTGCAGTGCTGAAGTTAGTAGCCATCCTTCCCTTGTTCATAGAAGGCTCTGGTTCAGTTCCATGCTGCTGATCAAAAGGTCTGTGCTAACAGGTGGACTTTGATTAGCGCTGAATTTAAATACTATTTCCAGTAGATTATAAAGCTAAGCATGCTGTGGATAGCTTATAGCTAGTTAAATATGTAGTGATGGCTCAATAATTAACCAAAAAAATGTTTAGTCTGTAAAGACTAAATATGTAATTTAATGGTATCTTTGTACAGTATTATTAATGTAATGCTTTTATTAACATAAATACATACTACATGTTTAATATGTTAAATCTTGAATCTCAACGCAGTCATCTTCTGCAGCCAGAAACTAAGCTTACAGCAGTATTTCATCACAAGTGGAAAATTCCAAGCGTCTTCCTCAAGAACAGGTCAGGAGTAAACAAGGTGTAAAATGTATTAGAGCAGAAGGAACTTTCCTTTTATCAAAGGCAGGGGTTGTGGTGGGAGCTAATTTTTGTGGAAGGTAGTGAATTGTTTGAAGTGAATTATATTAGGGATAACATAATTAACCAAGAAAGCAATTTAAATAGAGATATGGTGGCCTTTTCATCATTAGAGTCCTCCTTTGATGGTGAAAGTTACAGGTTTGATGCAGAGTGTTTGGGATGTGGCTAGTGTTGCAGAATTGGTCAGACTAGATGTCTCGTTGTGTCTTTACTTTACAATCTAAGTCTGACTCATCTCCACTTGCTTCCAGCTAAATACTCTGGTCTGCTCAGGACTTAAATTACTTGATTGGTTCCCCAAGTGTCTTTTTAGGTAGCCTACAGCAGAATAGAGGAAACATGAAGCATTACAAAGTGGATAAAAAGACAGGGAGTATGTGCCACAGGCAAAATGAATCTTAAATTACCCAATCTTTTGTTTTCTTTTGCTCTGTTTTTCCAGGTAGCTGTGGGGCTTCCTTGGACCTTACCGGTCTTTCAAGAGAAACTGTATGTGGTGCGTGGGGACAACTGGACAGTTCAAAAAGCCTTTTTGCCAGTACAGAGCTTGCCCATGTTACACTGTCGTGAGGGAGGAAGGGGTGGATTTTATTATTGCCACTCATAATGGGAAAGTTGCTAACTTTCCTCCAAAGAGTAAGGACTCCGCTATTCCAGCAGCCTATTACTGTGCCTAGCATCACATCATGACTATCAGCAGAACTGGTCAGGATTTTAGGTCCGTGCTTTTTTGTTGCTTGCTGTCAGTCTTCCAGTGCAGACAGTGTGCATGCAGGGCTGTATTTTGAAAGCCATACTTCCCTTTTTGCTGCCTGACTTCCTGGTGCAGTGTAAGCATGTGGGGTGGGGTGGTCTGCATTCTCTTGCCCCAAGTGTGCAGCTGCTTCAGCTGCAGTTTCTCCAGAGCTTCATGGAAAGTTCCCTGCTGCAAATATGGGTAGATCAGGGCTGTGGGAGTGATCTGGGCTAGCACTGAGAGTGCAGTTGTGAACTAGCACTGGGGAAGAGCTGGGGTGCGGGGTTGTCTGTTTCCTTCAATACCAGGTTAGTAACTTGTCTGATTTGACCACTATGATTTTGATCTGATGGTGGGAGCCAAAAGGCAACTCTTGCTGTTGGCAATCCACAGCCTAACATGCTCAGATATATGAGGGGTAGGAGTCTTTTTTGATTTATATACATACATACACACACACATTTTTCAATATATATATACTTCCTCAGTTGAGACAGCCACATCTGGATTCTTACAGGGCATTCTGAACCTGTAGGCACAGAAAAGGATAGCTAAACTAGGTAACTAGAGAAGACAGTAAAAATGAATAGGGATCTAAACCTTATTACGGACATAGATGGTAGGAGTTAAACTTATCCAGGATAAGTGGGGTCTAAAGGGAAAGGTCATGATTGGCTGTACATGATTGAAGTACAAAAAATAGTATTACGAGAAAAACAATTAATAAGGATGGGGTAGATGGTCAGAATGAAGGACGCTAAGATGTAGAGTGACAATAGACTTATGTTATTCCAGCTGTCTGAGAGCTTCATGTGTGCTATGGAGAGAGTAAGTGATGGCTCGGAATTCTTAGTGCTAAATGAAACCTAGAGCAGATCCTACTCCATCCTCAGGGTTTGTTTTGCCAGAAATGAGGATAAACATGAACAGCTATTCAGCAGAAGGTTGTCTGAATATACTATTATTTCCTAATCTTTTCTGGACTGCAAGACTGTAATACTTTGGAAAGGCAGGTGTCGTAGCTGTATATATGATCCTGCTTGGAGGAGGATTTGAAGACACCAGAGATTACGTACGTTTCAGTGGTAGCCTTCAGCTAGGTTACCTTTAAGTGACTGCAGAATCACAGTTTCAGAGTGTTCAGGTGTTCTAAATATGTATTTTTTTTCAGCATCATTCATATAAATAATCTTTCTCATAAAGGAAGTGGCCAATAAATACCTGCAAAAGAAAACAGTTTAAATAAAGGACTGAATTTTGGAGCTCGTTTCCCCTAGGAAGCCTAATGATTAAGCATTAAGGCAAAGCACTTTTTTTTTTTTTTTTTTTTTACTGAATAAATCACTCAAAATTTGAAACTAGAGAAAAATAGGTACCACTGTAAGGCTATTTGTAAGGCTATCTGACTAGTGCTTCTTCAACGTTAAAAAAAAAAAAAAAACCAAAAAACAGGAGATGCAATAAATTAAACATTTAGATAGGCAAACCCTGATAAACAAGTTAGAAGAGTCAGTAACAAAGACCAGAAATCTTAAATCAGGAGAACTATTACAGGAACCACTGAAATATGACCTTGAAGAGGTTTAGCCAGATTCTTTGATGATGTGTGATAATCCTGTTTTATTTTTCTTACCACAATGGGTCTTATAGGAAAGAGTAAGTTTATGAGATTTTTTTGAGGGGGATTGTGGGATTGTGCAAAAAAAATTAGGGGATTTTTAGGGGGAACAAAACCAGTTCTGTACTCCACAATTACATATAAATAGTATTTTAAATGCCTTCTCATTGTATAACTGCAAAGTGATCACATGTGAAGTTATGCAAATAAATGCTAATAATTAAAACTCTTAACTGTCATAAACCCTTTTTGTTCTGTAATGTATGTCTGGCATTCACCTATGTAGTTATTTCTGTAACCGTTGAACTGTGACATGTAACCCTTATAATCAACAAAGCCAACTTTCACTTAATCTCTCTCATAGATCCTTTAAAAATTGTATGTATGTATACTTTTTCATGGATTCACATAATAATTGAGGTTGGAAAGGACCTCAGGAAGCCTCTAGTCCAACCTTGCTTCCTCAGCACGAGGTCACCTAGAATGGGTTGTCCAGAACTGTGTTTAGTTAGGTTTGAAGTATGTCCAAGGACAGAGATTCCACAACTTCTCTGAGCAACTTGTTCCAGTGTTGGAACCCTCGGAGTACAAATGTTCCTTCTTATGTTTAAGTGGACTTTCATGAATTTCAGTCTACTGCATCTTGTCCCATCTTCTTGTATGCTGGATGCTCCAAGCTCTTAATCAGTTGCCCAGTGCTTCACTGAACTTGTTCCATTATGTCCATGTATTCCTTGTACTGGGAAAGCCAGAACTGGACCCAGTATTCTAGATGTGGTTTCACCAGCACCGGTAAGAGGGACCTCCCTTACCTCGTGGTGATGCTTTTCCTAGTAGAGGCTATTGGTCTAGCAAATTACTTAATTTGTTCTTAAGTAATAAGCTTATACCCTGGCATCGGAATTCATGGGACCAATTAAAATGGACATATGGTGGCATCTTCAGTACTCTTGAACAAGAACTAGGCAAAGCAACAGTTATAGATGAGCTTAACATACACTGAGGGGAAGGGAACTTTCAGGGCATGGTTATCTCCTGTGGCAGTGCTGCTGAATGTCGCTGTTGTTGCATGCTGATGTTTCAGGGCACCCTGCTTCAAACCATGGCTAACATTTCAAGTGAGTTACCGCGGTGTGGTCAGCAGAGCTGTCTTCGTGGAAGGGCACAACTGTGTCTGGCAAGGCCAGGTTTTGCTATTGAGGGGGGCTGGTGCACCTGGGAAGCCTGGCAAGAGAAGGGCGCCTACACAAGCTTGGCCCAGCAAGGTGTGTGGAAGGGGGCCAGGCTGCCAAGGCTGAGCTGATGTGGCTGCAGTGTAGGCACAGGGGTTGCCAGGGTGGGGCTGTGTGTTCAAGAGTTGAGCGGGTAGATGCGTGGTCATGGCTGTTTGGACCCGGGCTGCCTCCTGTGTAACAGGGCAGGCAGAGTTTAGCTGGGTGTTATGAATGGGGCTCACAGAAAAGTTCAGGGCTACGGGTGGGCCAGGGCCAAGGTGAGGGGGACACCCCGAGGAGGGACAGGGTGGGATTCGGGGACCTGCGTGTGGCAGGGCAGCCGGGACGGGGTCCGCTGGGGTAAGGGTGGTGGGACGGGGCCGAGTTAAGCCTGGCGCCGAGGGCAAGTTGTCCCGCTTCGGCAACGGACGGAGGCGGCAGAGGCGGCCAGGGTGCGGCCGGGGCGGGGAGAGGGAGCGAGCGCGGAGCGGCGGCTCCTCCCCCGCCACACCCGGTGCGGCAGGAAGAGGAACAGCCGCTCCCGCATCCAGCTCCCGGCCGGGCACGGCCCAGCGCAGCGTCATGGCGGCGGAGGAGGTGGACGGGCTGGCTATGTCCAGACCCCACTATGGCTGTGAGTGCTGGGGCGCACGGGGTCCGGGGAGCCGCGCGGCCGGCGGGCGACGCCCTGCCCGGCCCACGCTGTGCGTTCCTCCCAGGGGCCGGTGCCGGGAGTGGAGGCTGGGGCGCGGCAGTCGCGGGGGGAGCCGCGGGGCCTCAGCTCTGGGACTGGCCCAGGGGCGCGGTGGGCTCCGCCGGCTCCCTACGCCGGCCCCAGAGCGCGGCCCACTCTGCCTTCCGCGGGGTGGGCGCTGTGGGGCGCGGGGGCTCATCCAAGCTCGATGTCCTTACCCGGGCGTTAGAGAAGAGCACTGGGAGGAGGTGGTGGGTGGGCAGTGCGGGGGCGTTCTGCGGCTGCCCCGCCATCGCCTTCCGCGGGCCGGCTCCCCGCCTCGCCCAAGATGTCCGCCGTGGGGGGGGGTGTGGGGAGGGAAGGGCGTGGCGCGGCGCCCCCGCTGGGAGGGGGGCGCCCCGTCAGGAGAGGGGCGCGGGGCCGCCACCGTGGCCGTCCCGGCCTGCTTCCTTCCCGCGTGTTTTGGCGACGGCACCTGACTTACGAGGCGAAACGCAGGTTCGATCGGACACCTCCACCTTCTTGCCATATGTGTGCTGTGGAGAGGGAAACTTTAGTTCGAGGTGCCCGAGAGACATGCTTGCTCGTGCTACGATACCAAGTCAGAAACGAGCAAAGGCGGGCAACAGCGTGGTGCTGCGGCGGGGAGATGCGAGCGCCAGCCGGCCAGACCGTGCGGTGCCGGGCAGGGAGGGCGGCAGCAGGTGGGGTGCTGGGAGCCTTGTGTGCTCCACGCTCGGCCCGAAGTTAGAAGGAAAGGCTGAGTTGGGGAGCAGGGAAGGGAGGGAGCTTTTCCTTACCGGTAGGCGTTACCCTGTGGTTTGGGATAGTTTTAGGCTCTTGTAACTTTGGGTGGGGTTGGAGTAATCGGCAAGATGGTTTTGCAGTGTTTGAAACTGATTTCTAAGAGACCCTTTGAAGTTTGAACCAAGATCTTGTTTGATTCCAAGTGCTGTCATTGATACCTCATGACTTGTGTGTATTTGTTGAAGGCATTTTAGATGTAAGCTAAGCTTTGATTAATAATATGAGACGTTTCCTATTTGTCAAGTTGGTCAATAAAACCTATAAAGTTGTGGGTTTGGTTTTTTTTTTGACATGAGAGCATTGGATGAGGTATTTAAGAGTGGAAAGGGCGGGCTTTAAACGCACAGAATCTGGAAGATTTAGCCATATACTCCTATGTAGGTCCTCAGCTTGATCCAAAGATGATATGCGGGTTGTGGATCTGAATAATTCCCTTCCACATGAGGATTGTGAATAGCGTTTCCATCTTTATATTATAGAGATGGACTACAAAATGCAAGAAGGGATTATATGATGTGAATATATGTTGTTGTCCTTCCTTAATCTTTGACTACCAAAATTGGAGGATAGACGGAGGAACATACGGTCATTGATGTGCCTTTGAGGAAGAGAAAGGCAAAGATAGAAGAAAATAAGAAAATGAAGGACTGTTTCGAAGAAATTGGAAGAAGTTGGATCACAGCCAGATTGAGAAATCAAAAAGAGGGAAGATGGCAAGTTTATGTGACAAGGAAGGATAAGGAAACAGGGTCACTTCTGTTGTTTGCAAATAATGGATATGGTAGATCCTCTGTTTTTCTGAATCAAATAAAACCTGTAATGACTTTCTGTGAGAAAGGTTGGATCTGATTTTGTTGTGCCTGTTCAGTTACATTCAATCTTCAAACACCTGAGAACATGTTTTGACTATTTGCAGCTGTCTTGGATAATGAGAGATTAACAGCAGAGGAAATGGATGAAAGACGACGCCAGAATGTAGCCTATGAATACCTTTGTCATCTGGAGGAAGCAAAGAGGTAAGAATAAGTGGTTTTGAAACTTATTTTAAAGCTGGTGCTTTAACAGAAGTTGTGATAGTTGGTAAGGGGAATATTTTGGATGCAGCTTACCTCTTGTCTGTGTTTCTTAGTGGCTATATAGATTCATGTTTAAAAAGTGATCAAACAAACAAAAAACCCAAAACCAACCAGCCCCTGATGTGCATATCTAACATGTTCTTAAAGACTTCTTGTAACACAGACTCAGTAGCTGTAATGCTCTGGTGTTCCTAGCGCTGGATGGGTTCTCCTTGTTATCTAATGTGCATACGTCTTAGTGCAGTTTTACCTTGCTACTTATAAAAGGCCATGAAGAACGGGTTGTTCTCTTCCTCTTAACTGCAGCCTTTAAAAAATGCAAATCGTAACCACGTATTTCCCTTGTACTTACCTTCTTGGATCAAAATCCCAATTCTTGCATATTTTTCTGTGGGTCCGATTTAGTAGATCTGTAGTGCTTTTTTTTAGATTGTTCTGACTTCACTCTCTGTCTTTCTGGAAGTGCCCTACCAAAACAGAGAGAGGTTTTCCAACAGGGCTGTTAACATCCATGCTTATAAGAACACAAGGATTATTTTGTGTTCCCTGATAGATATGCTAGTATCGTACATTATGACATGGTATCTACATTTTTGTAACGGTATGATATAGTAGAGTTTTGCTGAGTTGCAACCCTTTTGCTTGAAGGTGTGCTACTGAAATTTATACCTCATCCTATGTTTATATGGTCTATTGTGTTTTCCCGAGTGTGTTACCTTTCACTTGATCCTGCTGAATTTGTTTTTTCCTGATCTTTGTTTATTATGTTGAAATAATTTTGATCTTATTCTGGTTTTCCAGCCTGTGTGTAGCTTTTGTGTCATCGCCATGTTTAATAAGCATGTAAGCATGCTGTAGTTCTTCATTCAGACAATTCTTCAGAAAGTGTGATCAGAACACGGTAGATGCTATATGTCTGCTATTAAAGGAAAAAGAATCAATATTAAAAATGAATGCATGAAGTCTTCCTGTTGGTATTTTAAAAATCTTTTTGCAAACATTCAATCCTATATGCTGTGTGTGGAGAGCAGGAATGAGACAGACCAGTTTGTCTACTGCTTTCCTTCATGACAGTTGGGTCTTTTCATGCCTTTGTATAAATTGCAGTTTTTACTTGAAGTTTAAAATGTTTTTTGAAGCTGAGATTTGAGACCAAAGACAGGTTTTCAAGAAGATTAAAGATGCGAGGTAATGTTTGTATCGGTGACTCCCCCTGCCCCCAACACTTTTGAAAGTAAGGCTAGTGTTTCAGGTTTCATTTTGTAATTAGTCAGGAAATGGACTGTGAGCATTTTGTAATTAGTCAGGAAATGGATTGTGAGTTTAGACTTTCCTTGTTCCCACAGAGATCTAGGCAAACTAGCCAATGTGTATGCTACAGAAGATAATTTACAGAGCAGTGGAAAAGTATGGAGCATGCATAAAAACATGTTCAAAAAAGTCAGCAGCATGTTTTGTCATGGCTCACCAAATACTTCAGTCTGCCTTTATCCTTTAAAAGATAATATGGTGTAAGAACCAGAAAACTTTCTCTTCCACTGTCTGGGTGGTGAATTTTGGATAAATCTGTGTAAGTATTCCCCAGCAAGACAGGCATGTTCTACTGTAGTGATTTTATTGGGGAGGAAATGCTGAGTTTGAACAAGTTCACTGCCGGCAGAATATAAAGGAGGACCTCATTCCAGGATTTTAATAGTTTATGCTGCCTTACTAAGGATGCATTGTATATTTTTGAAGGATCAGGGAGCACTCAGTTTGTGCTATAGTCTCCTGGGTGCTTCATAAC